TACAAAAAGTGGTCCAGAACCCCCATCATATATACTACTGCATGCAACATTTTAAATTGTTTAAATAAACATGTGAACTTTGATGAAATTGATGAGGAGTATGTTGTAAAACAGCTGTCTGCCCTTCATGTGGGTAAAGCTATAGGTATTGATGGAATTGATGCTTAGTTACTAAAAGCAGGAGCTTAGGAGATCGTAGCACCCCTCACATATATCTTAAATTTTACCATTCGCACTGCTGTCATCCCACTTGAGTGGAAGAAGCCTGTTGTTTTTCAAAGATGGTATGAAAACGGACTGTAACAATTACAGACCTGTATCAGTCTTACCTGTGATCTCTAAAATTCTCAAGAGGGCCATTCAAACCCAAGTGTATGAGCATTTAAACGAACATGGGCTCTTATCAAGTGTCCAATCTGGTTTTCATCCTCGACACTTATTGCCATAACTGATGTCACTAATTATCTTACCATAACATAGTCAACAGTGAAATAACTGGTGCCGTATTTGTAGATCTGAAAAAAGCCTTTGGTACGGTAAATCACCGGGTTCTGTTTCACAGGCTGTCATATTATGGTATTCGTGGTAGAGAGCTGGCATGGTTTTCAAAGTATCTCACTAAAAGACTTAAATAACTAAAAATCTGTATTAATAAGGAGTGTGTTTACATGCACGCCGAGTGTTGAAAAAATCGGGCTTGGGAAGTTGGGACGGCCAAGATCTCGCCTGTGAGATGGTACAAAATAACCCGGCAACTTCAGGGTAAACATGGGATGAAATTGACAACACTTGATGACATCGATTGGTTTCTCCTAGCAATCCTGACAAGAGGAATTTCTGTTGTTTGCTGCATCAGAGGCACCGCCATAAAATGCTGACGACCATAGAGGGCGCTATTACCATTCCATGAAGCCTGCAACATCACACAATGGTAATGGAAAGATTATAGGGAAAAAAGGACTGAACATTGCCTTAATGTACAATGGTAATGGAAGGAGGAAAAAAAGAACTGAACGCTTCCTTAATCGAACAATGGTCATGGAAAGAGGGGAAAAAACAACTGAATGCTGCGTGAATTTCCTGATATACATCACAGCAGTAGTGCCCCCACTCATCTCGAAAAGCTGACAAATTTTAATGTTTGTAGCAAGATACCGAAAATTGTGAAATATTCTCATTAATGAAAAATTCAGAGGACCTGATGTTTCAATCCTAGCAGAATCTTTCTCCAAGTTATGTGTTCAAGTTTCAAAACATGGTTGAATTTTTAGTGACATGTACATGATACATGTATAATTTAACTGAACATTTAGAAGTGTAAATATAGAAAGGTTTGCAAATATGTTTGACCTGAAATATACTGAAATACATGAAAGGTCTGAATATTTTGTGTATTCTGTCTTTTAACATAATACATATTAAAACTTCTGGTTTTGTTATTTAAATACATGCAAATGTCTGTGCCCTCTGACCTTTTTGAAATTGCGCAATCCTAACCTTTAAATATAAGTTCCGAAATCTTATCTATCAAGAGGCAATTGGCCTGGTGGCTAGCTAGCTGGCTGCC